TTCACTGAAAGAAGAGCAAAACACTGCTCTGGAGGCTTTTCTCAGAGGAAAAGATGTTTTTGCTCTTCTCCAGACTGGTTTTGGCAAGAGTAGCCTGCCTTGTGGTTGTGTTTTCGTCGTCGGTCTGTCAGTACGTCATATGCTTCGTTGATCTGATTGGTTTATTTGGCCCGTCTATCACCAACATAGGCCAATCAACTAACCAGTTTTGCCCCTTCCCAAAATTACTGCAACGGAAGGTTTCCAGATGGATATGCGGAGCAAATCCATCTGGCGGAGTCAGGTTAAGGGTTTTGCACTGGAAAAACGATCTAGAAATAAGTAAAAATTTCTTAAATTAAGTGTATTTAACCTTAATTTGAGTAGGTAATTGAGATAGTTTCCCAATGGAATGAGTATTTTTACTCTTAAAATAAAATAATTAGATAATATGTACTTGAAAAAAGACAATGCAATTGTGTTTTCTTATTTTAAGTGTAAATCGTCTTGTTCCATTGGGAAAATGTCTACTTTACCTCCTCAATCCAAGAACAAATGCATTTATATTAAGAAAAAATGACTTATCTAGATTTGGATTTTTCCAGTGTGGAGGGTTTTTACATACCTTCTGATGCATAACCAAGTAGAAACTCATCAAATCACACTACTTTGATTATTCAAGGCATTTTGTTTTTAAAGTCGGTGAAGTTATCTCAAAGCTCCTTTGAGGGCATTCTAAGGTATTGAACTGTTTCATATTGGCAACAAAAGACCTTGTTAAAATGACACAGAACAAGGTTGTGTCGGACAGACCACTGAGTGGCCAAGGGGAAGGAGGAAGCAGCAGCATACTAATTTGCTCTTATACAGTACATGTATATTGTAAGTATTTGAGAGGAGTAAAGGGAATGTCAGGTAAAGTCCTTGGATGTTTCCTATGAAGAACAAATAAATAAATATAGCTGTGTGTTGCTTAATCCAAGCACATGGAAATTTGTTTTCTTTATAAGTAAAGACCAAACATTAAGATGATGATAACACCATTCTGCTTTTTTTCTATAGGTTCACTGAATTTCTGGAACCCTTTGAGAGAGTTATTCAACCGGAGGAGCTTTGGCTCTACAAGAATCCTCTGGTGGAGTCCGACCATATTCCTAAAAGGGTTATGTTTGTAAGTTTCTCATAATTAAACTCTCATGCTTTAAATTACCACCTAATATCTTTGTAGTTAATGACTTTGTTTGAAGCAGCATTACTGTTGCTGATTTGTTTAAAATGTTTTGACATAAAAGTACATAAATACTATAACTGATCCAAAATAAGTCAAAACTGCCCCTTTTCAATTTAAGTACTTTATAGCCTAAACCAAAAAACTGCTTTCTGCATAGAGTTGCTTTTATATATTGATTTTCAAATCCAAGGTATCAATCGTGAAAAATGCAGGAGTTAACAAAATTAGATTTGAAAAGAGATGCATTAATGAATGCATATACTGTAACATATACAAAACAACTTCTCTAATGAGTCGATATTACTTAAAAAATTATGGTTTTTATGTTTTGGAAACTGTTTCATTATCAGTTCCAAGATAATAATAATATTCATGTAAGTTACTCTGGTAAGGCTCAGACTCTATGGCCTAAAAAAAGCCAGACCAATCACTGGAATGGAGGTGGGACTTTATTCTTACACCAGAAGTATCGCTTTTCTGTAACAGTCAAGATTACAGCCATAATGGAGCAATGTTTTAATAATGCCCTTATTAAATGTTTGATAACTT